GGTTTAGGGTTTAAAGTTTGGGGTGTAGGGGCTTTGGGGGTTTAGGCTTTGAGGTTTAGGGTTTAGGGTTTTGAGGTTTAAGGTTTGGAATTTGGGGTTCAAGGTTTAAGGCTCCAAGGTTTAGGGTTTGGTGTCCAGAAGAATCAAGCAAGCGAAGCCGTTCCCAGATGATCGCAAGAAGAGTCAGATGATACAACCATCCAGACACCCCGAATCGCGATGCCGTTGCGGGCAGGTCATTGCAAAGCTCGCTCAGTGAACCTACTCACCCTAAACCCTAAACCTATCGATCCTAATGGCCCTTATCCCCAAACCCATACTATCCAAATTACCCAGAGAGCTGGCCTGCGCTTTTGTGGGGACCGGACTCAACTATCTCCTCATAGGCCGCCCCGCGGGCCGAGAGAATCGACCTGAGGGAGGCAAGAACTTCTTGGAGGCTAGGAAGCCCCGGGCTTTCTGGGATTTCAATCGGAGAGCTGGCTTTTCCCTACCAGCCACTAGCAAGACCCTGCCACAAAAAAAGGCATGCTGATGGGTGCCTGTAGCTGTAGTAGCTATGATGACCGTCAAGCTGATGATACCGACACCGATGCTGCTCAGGAAAGCACGACGATGACGACGAGCTGATGATGATGATGATGATGGTGGTGGTGGTGGTGGCGGTGATGATGATGATGATGATGACGATGATGATGATGGTGGTGGCGCCGAAGATGAAGCTGATGCTGAAGATGATGCTGATGCATCAGCAGATGATGATGGTGATGATGATGTTGATGATGATGACCATCATCATCATGACCATCAACGCCATCATCATCACCGTTACATCATCATCATCATCATCAGTATTAGCAGCGATATAATCAGCTTCTATGTCGCTTCATCACACCATCCTCACGATGTCAGGGACTGTAATGACTATGATGATACCCGTGATGGAAGCGTAGGAGGAGGAAAGGCACATTGCTTAGCCCGCCGAGAACCAGAGGCCCCCGGGCGGAAGTCATTGGGCTCGGCACGCCGAAGGGTCGAGTGAAGTCCGTGCTATCGAAGCCACGGCTGAACCAGTGGCCTCATTGGTGATTGGGAGTTTGAGGTTTAGGGAAGTTTAGGGTTCAGGGTTTGTGATTGGTCGGTAAACCCTACACCCTAAACCCTTCAGAAGTGTAGGGAGTTTAGGAGAGTTTGGGGGTTTGGCAGCATCGGGATTTCGGGTTTCGGGTCGGAGGTTCAGGGGATAAGAAAAGGCGGAGTTTGGGGCTTAGATTAGAGTTTCGGACTTAAGGGGTTTAGGGTCTCCGCGACCTTCTGGCCGCTTTGGGTTTTGGGGCTTCCATTTCAGTCAGAGTCCAGAGTTTTGTGGGGGCTTCTGAGTATGAGACGTCTGTGGGATGTCCGAATCCGAACCTCTCGGGCTCTGGTAAGGCGAACAAGATAACAGAGCAAAGCAACCATCAGAGTCGCTTCGATACCATTTCGATAATGAAGATGATGACGACGATGGATGTACTGACATCCAGAACCAAGAAGCTTGAACCCAAAACCCTAAGCCCTAAATCCTAGCAGTACCAGGTGCCCAACACCGGGCGTGTCCACGTCTAACGCGGCCTGGCATCCGGGTTACGGTGATCCATCTTCTTGGGCGGCAGCCGACTTGGACGATGAGGGGACTTGGCAACAAAGGTAATAAGCACCTGATAATTGCGTCTGTAAGCAATTATGAGTCATTATGAGTATAGTTCCGTAGTCGTAACCCTAGTTACTCAGTCCCATGATCCTTTAAGTACTCTATGGCCCCGTGAAAGCAAGCCTGCAACTGGAATCTGTCAAGCAAAGGTCCACATGGACCGTGGATTCTAACTTGTTACTTGGCGCAGCTGCATCCACTGGCTTACCCAAGAAATTCGAAGAGACATCTGCCACGAGCCTCCCAATGTCGCGAGTAGTATGTCGCAGTGACCCGAAACCTTAGATGTGCTGGCGCCGGGTCAACTAACTAGGTTTGGGGACAGGACCTGAACACGGCAAAGACTTGAATGAAGGTTGGAGTTTGCACTGGCTTTGAGCCGTAGCACATGACTGTAATATAATGGCGTAGTAACTTCTGTTACCTGATGACAACTGTTTTAATTGCATATCCTCACGAGTACTATCCCTATCATCCATTACGCTCGCCTGCTACCCTGCCCTTGCAGACTCTTCACAAACACTTCAGCAATCCACCCTCGAGTGTCCATGCGACGATTTCACCAAACCGCGGAGGCCAGACTCAGAGTGGCGGCCGTTTTTGTGCTGGTTTGGGGCTGAAGTGCTGTGGAGTCTAGAGCCTTCAGCTCTAGAGGCCCTAAGTCCTGAATACTCCAAAGCCCGAAAACAAGCAAAAGTCCGAAGCCTCTGCCCAAAGATGAACAACTCCCAGGGTGCCAGACATCACCCTCGGAGGAGGCAGATCGCGCTGCCTCGGATCGCGTTGGGGCCTAGGGGGGCCTGAACAGTCTCCCTCTGCGCCTGCGCAGAGTCTGTCCATGGCTGAAAGGCTTGGTGAGGTGCTAGTGAAGTGCAAGATCTAACTCAGCACTACCAGGGGTAAAAATGGCCCTGTTCCCATCTTTGTTCCATCCTTCGTCAGCAGTCGAGACCCACTCTTCCCTGCAAGATGCTGGCGAAGTTCACAGGCATCAGCAAAGAAGTCTAAAAAGGTGGTGGGTCCCAGGTCCCGAACTCGGAGACTTGATAGCAGTCCACGCGGCTCTCTGGCAGGGTGCCTAGCCCCTGACGATGCTGCCAATCCGTGCGGGTAGAATGTCTTCACTGATGATAACGATCACGATTACCACCATACTCATAACGATAGTCCTAATAATACTAGAAACAGTCGTCATAGAAAATGAAATAGGAATCACAAATTCAGGAAGCTTGTGATAGCTGCGCTCGTTAGCACGGATGCGGGGCCGGAAACTGGCATTGCCGGCGGAACCACGAAATTGTTCAAGTGAAGGAACACCATCCCGCGGCGGAGCCAACCGCTCAGCTCAGGACGTGCTGTAGATGCGATTAGGCATCATCCCTTGACCTCCGAGATCTTCTTGAAGAAGCCGAACTTGGGGAAGCAGACCAGGAAGCAGACAGACAGCATCATGGGCACCTCCGGCAGCTCTGCACACTCGGGAGCGAGTTGTCTTGGGATATCGGAGCAGGCAAGACCAGAAACAAAGGCTACTTCCCTAAACCCTAAACTCTAAACCCCAAACCCCTAGCCTTTGGTTCTTGTTTCCTAAGGCCACAAGGCCAGTCCAGGCCTCCGCATCGGGCGGAATTGCCGCTGCGGAGACAAGGCAGCACATCTGGCCCTGCCTTGGACTTTTAAAAGGATTTTCCAAGGAAACCTCGCAGAGCTCACACCTGGGACACCTTACCATGCAGCCTGCAGGCTTGTGCTCCCCCTGAGCGAGCCCCATGGCTGACATTTGGGTGTTGGATATACATATATACAGATGTATATATATATATATGTGCATATATTATAATATATATTTATATACATGTATATCATGATATAAAATATTTTACACCAACCCCTACTCCGAAGCGCTTGCTTTCGCCCAGGGTGCTGCTTGATGCAAACGGTCACAGGCACGAGGCGGATGTCAAGGCAGAAACAGCGAAGCCTGGGAGTGGGCCCCGTCACTCTGGGAAACTACGGCTGATGATATAAATCCTGCATTACCCACAATAAGGAAAATGCCATCATTCCCATAGTTTAGGGTCCTTCCGGCTATGCAGGATTTATATCATCAACAGTAGGGATTTTCAATGTCCATGGCTGCATGCGCAAACCCGGGCAAATACTCCGTGAATCCCAGAGCCGACTGATCACGGACCAAGACCAAGGAGCTTCTCGGTGTTGGACTTGAGGCAGAAGTCCCACTCCAGGCAAAGGAGTGTCTCCTGGGTTGTCTCAACAGCAGTGCAAGGCTGCAGTGGCCTTTGTCCGTCGTGGCCAAGCCGTTCCAACAATTTTGGGGCAAGAGCAAGTTGAGGGGATATGCAAGATGAAACTATCCAGGCGTCCTTAGCAGCACATCCGATCTCGACGTTCTCCAAGTTGAGGCCGTTGAAGCAGCCTCGACATCTAGCCGGCTGTTTGGCTCGCTGGAGTATGCAAGGTATCAGAGGGCTTGCAGCGGCGAGGAGTCTTGAGTCCGTGACGGCCCGGATCTCTTAGGCAAATTTACAGGCTTCGCATCTTGAACCGAAGGACTCTGAGCTTTCAGGACCGCTGAAATGCTCTATCTGGCCAAGGCACAGAAGCAGGCGCCATAGACGGTCACCTCCCACACACAAACACACAAAACAGCTCCACAGTTGAGCATGTTCCAACACAGTGCTGTCAGTATCGGCCTATTGCCAGCAAGCTTTACAACAAAGGTCTGCCGACTGGGTCGGCCCTTCGTTCACTGAGCACTGCACGACACTAGCATAGCGGCGGGCTGGCCTACTTGAAGCGGCATACGGCAGCTGCTCATCTCTAATTAACCTAGTGCCCACAGTCATACCATTGGCACCCTACGGCCCCGCAAGTCAGTGACCTTCGACTCGTCGATGGAGTCCAACGGCATGTTTACAATGACACGGAGGCCAGGGGCGCGACTTCGGAGCTTTATGAGTCTTGAGACCGAAATCGCTGTGGCAAGCAGCTTCAAGATTTTTGGGGTTTATGGTTTCGGGGATATAGACATATGTACATATGTACATATGTAAATATGTACATAAGTACATAGGCACAGATACATATACATATACATATACATATACATATACATACACATACACATATACATATACATATACATATACACATACATAGTATATACATATACATACAAATACACGCATGTACACATCTACATATACATATACATATACAGATGTGTGTCTGTGTACACCAGAGTATGTGCATGCATACATGTATGTTTGTGTGTGTGCATCGATCTATCCATCTAGCTATCTATCTATCTATCTATCTGTCTGTCTACCTATCTACCTATCTACCCACCTGCTCACCTACCGAGATACCTACCTACGTACTTATATATCCATCTATCTTTCTACATATAGTGATACATGTGTTTTTAAGCAAATGGATATATAGGTATATGTGTGCGTATATACATATTCGTATGTCATATAGGTGTACATATGTGCCATTGTTCTACATATATACAGATAAACACATGCACGAACGCACATACATACATACATACATACAGACAGACAGACAGACAGACAGACAGACAGACAGACAGACAGACCTACCTAACTACCTGCATGCATGCACACGTACACACATTCAGGCATGCATGCATGCGTGTGTTTGCTGTATAGATATATGTATAGATGCCTGGGGTCTAAGGCACCTTGCAGTTTGTTGGAAGGCTGGTTTAAATTGGGTCTCGCTTTAGCCTACTTTCACATACTTCCAGTGCAATTAGGACCCGAAAAGCGAAGAACGGGTTTTCCGTAAACCCTAAACTCAAACCGTAAACCCTGAAACCCTAAACCTGATTAGAACTCTTATAGACCCCGTCAAGGAACCCTTACGGCTCCCTTACCAAACCCTAAAACCTAAACACTTCTTGAAGCCTGGCCGGGGTCTTGCAGCAGACAGAGTGACTGAGTCACCGGCACCACGGAGGGCACTGGATTCTGGGCGAGATGACACATATATATATATATATGTATATACACAACACAGATAACATTTACTACATAACACACCATATATACGATATACAACACATAATGCATGGGCATGGATGAACACAGGCGCCCTAATAGCTAGATGAGGGCTTTGGGGTGCGCTATGCTACACTTGTATAGGAACATAGGGTCTATGAGGGCATACTGATACAGACGATTCAAAACCCTCGTAGTGAACGAAGATTTTGGCCTGTGCTTTCTGGCAATAATAAACGACTTGGGCGAATCTTATAGCTGGCTGATCCTGCGTGCTCGTTTCCTGCACCTTCAATGTCCGCGACGGCTACGAGTAGCTACAGAGTCTCGGCATGTGTCTCTGACGATCAGGAGAATCGACGCAGATCACCAAGAGCTTCAACCCTAAACTCCAAACCCCAAGTTCAAACGCCAAAACCTACACCTCACCAAAAGCCCTGAACCCCAAAACTGAAATCCCAAAACCCCAAAACCCCAAAACCCCAAACCCTAAGCCGCCTCAGGGGCCCTTCCGGGTTGATACCAGGCGTCGTGGAGAGCTTGCGCCAGTGGGCGCTGAGCCGAGGGATGGCTGGGAGGGGTTTAGGGTTTAGGGTTTATGGGGTTTAGGGTTTAGGGGTTTATGGGGTTTAGGGTTTAGGGGGTTTATGGGGTTATGGGGTTTATGGGGCTTATGGGGTTTAGGGTTTATGGGGTTATGGGGTTATGGGGTTTAGGGTTTAGGGGTTATGGGGTTTAGGGTTTATGGGGTTATGGGGTTATGGGGTTTAGGGGTTTATGGGGTTATGGGATTATGGGGTTTAGGGGTTTAGGGTTTTGGGGGTTATGGGGTTATGGGGTTTAGGGTTTAGGGTTTGGGGTTTAGGGTTTAGGGGGTTCTGGGGTTTAGGGCTTGGGGTTTAGGGTTTAGGGGTTCGAGGGTTTAGGGTTTAGGGTTTATGGGGTTTGAGGTTTAGGATGGTTTAGGACCACTTGGGGTTTAGGGTCTAGTATGGTTTAGGACTACTTGGGAATCAGCTTCAGGCCTTGAGGGAACCCCTATAGAGTCTAACACAGGGGCCTAAATGATTACCAATACGATTTTGGGGGCTCCGTATTATAAGTATAGTCTAATATGCCCCAAAACCCTATTCCAATTATTAAGGCCCCTCCATTAGGGGCTTAGGCTCAACGACTTATGAGACTCCTGTCCGGCAGGGAAAGGCGGCGAAAAGTAGAAGAAGCTCTGGCGCTGTGGCATTTCTTGCGCATCGTTATAGAAGGGGAAAACCCGGAACAACAATACTAGCTTCTGGACTTGCTGTAAGTTGCCGGTTCCGGTATGGGTCCTGCAAAACTGCAGCACTGCCGACCTTCTACTGATGTTGCGCATGCGTTGGGAGCCCTTGTGTGTCCTGTGCCTCAGTACTGCGCGGACTTGTGCGCCTCTCCCTGCTGAATAAGAACTTGTTTTTTGAGTCTTGTCCAGGAATGATGAAAGACGACGGGTGTATGTCCCATGCATACAAGAAGACGGTGATCACATTAGCCAACTGAAGTGCTAGGCGATAGCACGAAGAGACTGCAATGGGAAACTGCACTGTACTATTCAAAAGAACATGTCATGACAAGCGCAATGACACAATCGGAGGGCTCACCGCCGAAAACTTACCCTTGCACACAAGAAGGTGCCAAAATCGTGCAACTAGATAGAAGCAGACATCTGGCCAAGCGCACTGGACAGGACGCATTCCATTGAACGAGCCAACCCTGTCATGAGGACCGCTTGCAGTAAATCCATATTCTCTCTTCGGAGGGCCTTTGCCAAAGTCGTTGCAATGGCGAAGCTGGGCAGAAAAATCAACCTTGGCCCGCCAAGCTTGGTCTCAAACCCATGAACTCGCGTGGCTGCTCCGCGTTTGGAGATCTGCAAGTAGACTACCCTCCCGCCACACTCCCCGAAGCACTTGCAAGTCTAGGAGCCTATGCGGCGGCTGATTTTCGCCAGGCACATCTCTCATCGCATCACAGCCGCCACCACAGCGTTCAAACCAAATGATGTTTAGCAACTGAGTGATATGCGCAGACGGTTCTCAGAACCCTTCCTTCATTACCAGTATGTATACGACCATCTTCCCAGAGTCGCCCCTGAACTCGAACACACACCGAGACTGCGCACCATGGCCAGATGGACAGCTGGAGCTTCTGCGAACACCTGGAAGGCTCACGGCATGGCGGCTCGGGGCGTTAAAGCTTCTGCTGCTTCTTTTGCAGAAGAACTTCCGGCTAGATCCATCAGATCTTGAGGGAGGAGACTGCTGCTGGTAGCCGTCGTCATCGTCGTCGTCATCGTCGCGGTGGCGCTCGTGGAGAAGGAGGTGGTGGTGGTTGTGACAGTAGTGGTAGGCGTGGTAGTATTGGTAGTCCTCGTAGTAGTCGTAAGTAATAGTCGTCTTCGTCGCCGTCGCCGTAGTCGTAGTCGTCGTCGTGGTCGTAGTCGTCGCGCAGCAGCAGCAGCAGCAGCAGCAGCAGCAGCAGCAGCAGCAGGAGCAGCAGCAGCAGCAGCAGCAGCAGCAGGAGTAGTAGTAGCAGCAGCAGCAGCAGTATCAGCAGTAGTATCAGCAGCAGCAGCCGCACTGGCCGTCGGAATTGTAGAAGCTTGCAGCTTCATTTCGTTCGCTTGAGCAGCGCCTCACCGACCCCGAGGACGGCGTAAACGGAGGCTTCGAGCCTGACGACAAGAGGAAGCAAAGGCCACGGAAGGAAGTACCGGTGTTGCTTTCAAACGTATGTGCCACTGCAGTGCTGCTGGTCTGCCTTCAATTCTTTCTGCAAGCAAGGATGCGATGATGCGGACGAATGACCGAGACGACAACGACAAGAAGTACGGGCATGTACGCATGATGAGGCAGCAGATGGGGTGGGTTGCCCAGGAACAGAATCATGGCTGCTGGCATGGACGATGCTGATGATGATGACGATGATGTTAGAAATGGCGGCGATGACGATGAAGACAGTGGCCAGTGCAGGCAGTGGTAGACGTCGAGGCACCGAGGCGCAAACAAAGCTCGTTGTCCAAAATGAATGCAATGTTGTACCTGGTATTTGAGGGAGTAGTATCAGGTGCATCTCGTCTCTGGCGTCGGGCTTCTACATCATCCAGAAACCGAAGATGCTCACCAGAAGGACACCACGCTTGTCAATGCTGCACGGGATTTTGGCATATTCATGCCTGTACTGCCAGCTCTGGGCAAGAAGTCATAGCAACGAGCATTCACCTATTGTACTGTGTTCCGCAAACTTGCTCCCTGATGCAAACTCCGCACAGCACAGAATGTAGACGCGGAACATCACTGGAGTGTTTTCGTCACCCTGAATACTTAACTTCGAGCTCCATGCCAAACGCCGAGCTCAACAAAAACTCAGACCGCGAAACTCCAAAACACAGGAGGATCCGAGGGTTTAGGGTTTAGGGTTTCGGGTTTAGGGTCCTGGGATCCTCATTTACAAGGCCCTCGCTGTCAGAAGACCCAAGCCCCGACATGCCAGCCCCCTTCCGCCCCAAACCCTGCACCCCTCGAAGTGCACAGAAAGCTTGTAGGTAATCCTGGGATACGATCTGCTAAACCAAAGCCTATACCCTACATCCTTTTGAGCAACTTCTTAAACCACTTAAGCACTCGTCTCTATGAATCTCCTCTACCCCCCCCCCCCCCCCTCAGTCCGAATCCTTGCTCCATCCCCCAAACCCCTCAGAAGTGTAGGGGGCACATGGAAACGAAGCTCACGGCACCCAGGCCCAGCCCAGAGAAGACGACCTGCCAGGAAGCTTAGGAATCTGGCCTCAGAGGAGTTCTTCTCCATGCATTTTACGGTCGAAAGTATACTCTATACATGTGTATGTGTATATATATATATATGTATTATAATATATATATATATATATATGTCATGAATGTGTGTATGTATGTATGTATGTATGTCTGTCTGTCTGTCTGTCTGTCTGTCTGTATGTATGTATGTATGTATGTATGTATGTATGTATGTATGTATGTATGTATATTATATATATTTATATATATATATATTTATACATAACTATTGAAAGCTGCTTGGGCCGTAGCAGTTCGCATGCAAATTGGGGCTTCGAAATGGCGGCCTACACAGCTGAATCAACTCCGCAGAGGGACAGCGGTGGCGTACTGCAGGGGCCTGAATAATTGGAAAATTGGAATAGGGTTTTGGGTTCATTTATGGCAAAATAAGAGTAGGAAGCCGTAAGGAATGATATTGGTAATTATCTAGGCTTCTACGTTGGGCACCTTTCTCCCTGAATCGGATGGTGTCTGATGTTGTTGAACCGCTGCTTCTCGAAGAGTTTCCGACAGCCTTTTCGCAAACTGTGGGATCTTGAAAACTCGCCACTGACAGGTCCGAAATCACACCCGAAGGACAACCGAGCAACCGCACCCAAGTGAGCATCATCAGCTTCCGCCGGTCTGCGAAGGTGGAGAGCATGCCTGAAAGAAGCCCTAAACCCAAGGCTGTCCAAATGTTGAGGGTGATGATGACCCCTGAAATAGCCGTCGCAAGCCCAAGTAAACCGCAGCCGTCTAGAAGTGGCGTACAGCGTAGATCATGCAACGACGCTCGAGGGTGACATCTTTGCGAGCATGTGACCCAGAATCCTTGTCACTCTACTCCTCAATATGGACTGTGCAGCGCTGCTCCACGCAGCACTATCCGTCACTATCCATTACGTCAAGTTTACATGTTCGAGAAGAGAAGCTGTGCAGGCGCAGCTCAGCAGAGGCATTCGTTTCCCATACCTTTCCCACATTGTAGCTAACCTTCTAGAATCCAGCACAAACAAACCCACACATGTTCCCACCTTGTGCAAAGGATGATCTGCAATGTCGAAAATTCGACCCATAACCCCAAAATATTGGGATTCATGTGAAGAGCCCGAATACAGACCCGGGGTTTCTTAATCAGGTTCCTACATTACGCTCAGACGGATGTTCCTGGACCAGATGAACTCAGAGACTTGACCTGCTAGCTGCAATCTGTTTGTGAAGCAACTACAGACCAGATTTGGGCACTGCCAGAGTCTATAATTTTTTGCTACTATGAAGGCTGCCATATATCTGTATTAATGAAATGCTATTCAACTGTTACCGAGTAGGGGCGGTATCCAAGATCAGACTTCTGAAGGCAAACAGCCAATACTGTAATTTCAATCCACAGGCTTATACCGTACAGGACATGATCTGGGTGATAGCACCAACACGGTACTAAGAGCTGCCATGTGAATCAGGTCTTCTCCTTCTTCAAGATACCATCACGAGCATGGCCCACGAGAAAGCTGAGAGCTGGGCAAGCGGGGAGAACCAGCAGCACCACCAAAGCAATGACGCCCTGTGGGGGCCGAAGCTCCCATGTCGGTGGCAAGGCCCAGTAGCTCTTCCGGGATACTTGGAGGATCACTCAGTAAGTGAGATTGTGCGTGCCTGAATGGGCATGGAGTTACAAGTAGTTAAAAGGAAAAGAATACCTTATCTATAACTCTACTCTGTGGAATATATTCAATACTTATTCCGGAACCCTGCAAAAAAATCTAGCAGAACCCTGAATAACCCAGCGAAGCTCTGGAAAAAAAAAGACCTGGCCCCCTGAACCTTAAGCCCTATACCCTCAACCCTAAACCCTGGCCTCAAGGCCCCAGCAAGGCCAGAAAGCGGCCTAGGGAAGCACCGGCTTCGGGCGTTGTCTCTAAAATGGGTCCTACTGTAGCTTTTTAGGTTTAGGGTTTGGGGATTATCGTAGTATGAAGAATAGTAACAAACACTACGAGGCTACAGTACTACAAGGGTTGCTATCAGCATTCGGGCTCCCTGTCATGATGGGGGCGACCGTAATATGACTAATGATCGTGCGCAGGGATAAGGTTTACTACAAGGCTTACGTTTGAGGTTGCTGTGCGGGTTTACACTACTACACTGATGTAAGGACTTGCAGGTACTACAGTAAACCTAAACCAACTTCTTCTTAGCTCGCGAGGATAGGGTCCCTTCCAGCCTCCATGGTTTTTATCAGGGTACGGATGGTGCGGTATCTGAATTGGGGACTCTGGACTCTGGGACTATCCAGAACGACTACCCCTTTTCTGGCTCCTTACTCTCAGGATTTCAGGATTTCATGTTTTGGGAGGTATCCGATATCCAAAAGGCGGAAAACAAAGAAGCCTCGAACGGCCTTTTCAGGGACACCGGGCCGCGCAACCCTTTCAGGGATTTCCACTGTTCAGGCTTTGGCACCTCGCAGTCCCTGGGGTCGATTGAGAACCTGTCTCTCCGATAGCCTTGGGGCATGCCCTGAAGATGTGCAGAAGTAGTGAGAGTGTCAATCTGGGCTTGGAGAAGCAGGACTTGTGAGTGTTGGGGCAGGTCCCAATAAACCATAAACCCTCAACCCCAGAAGCATTCCATGGAAAGGGCACACTTTTCCGGGGCCTCCCAATCGTACATCACACTGGAAGCGTTGTCCACCTCCCCAACCCATTGCATTCTGGGTTTAGGGTTTAGGGTATAGGGCTTAGGGCCATGATCAAACCCTAAACCCTAAACCCCTCTGCGCCGGCTTGCTAACCAATGCACTTCGAGTTCTGGGCCCCGGAGGCCCTCATCTTGAGCTCACACAATTCCCAGCCATGGACAAAGCTAAGGGAACCAGAAGGATTCCTCTAAGTTGAGGGATTTAGGGTTTAGGGTTTAGGGTTTCGGGTCTAGGGTTTAGGGTTTAGGGTTTAGGGTTTCGGGTCTTGGGTTTAGGGTTTAGGGTTTAGGGAGCTTTATCTTTAACAGATCTACAAGAAATCCTTTTAAGACTTGCAAGAGGGGAAACCGCTGAAGCCCTAAACCCAGCAGCCATGCTCAGCTTGCCAAGCGTAGAGAGTGCAGCAGCGAAAGGGGGACACTCGCTTCAATCTTATACCCGAATAACAGAGGGGCCCTAATAATTGGAACAGGGTTCCGGGGTAGATCATACCATAATTATATTAAGGAACCCCCACCATAATTATATTCAGGACCCCCACTATATTTATTTATATATATATATACATATGTATATATATATATATACATATATATTTATATTTATATTAAGGACCCCCCCCCAAATGATTGAAACCCCTAAATTAGGCTTGGCAAGAGGGACCTAAGCTTCTGCTCTGGCCGAGGTCTCGAGAAGCGCAGAGCAAAAGCGTGTAAGAATCCACTTGGGTTTCCGAAAAGAGGGGAGAACCACTTGGGACACCCATCATAGACTCACCCTTACGAGGCCTTCTGACACGCTTGAGACGCCGTTGCAAGATCTTGCCAAACCCCTATGCTAGAGAAGAAAAAAGCATCAACAAGACCTCACAGGCCCTTCTGAGTCGCTGAAAGCGCTCTTACCCTCCCCATTCCAGGGGGGGGGGCCTTCATGGAGATGGACACCACAAGCACGAAACAAAGGAAGCGGCCCAGGTCCGAGAACAAGCTGCTCACGACGTTGCAGCCCTGACCAGCGGAGGGATTCATGCGGCTAAGGATTTGGGGTTTGGAGCTTGAAATTGGGAGTTCGGGTTTAAGGTCTAGTCCAGGACTTGAGGTTGGGGTCTTTGGGTTCGCTGGATTAACCAGGCCAGTTTATCCCGAATCCAACAACACTCAAACCCCAGGCCCCGAACCCCAAACCCTACACTCTTCTGCCGCAAACACTAAACTTCAAACTCCATGGAAGCCCAGGTGGCTTTCAGGCAACAGCTCCCATGGCAGTCCGTCTTTGTCGGGGCCTCCGCGCGCTCGTTGTCCTGGGCATAGGTCCGCGGCAGGACTTGAGTGCTGCTCCACAGACTAGACAAGAATGTGTAGCACTAGGAATAATGTTCGTACTCACAGGAGCAAGAGCAAATAAATGTAGCAAGCGTTATGATGGTAATCGTAAGGCTTACCTTGTGGCCTGGAGGCTGTCCTGTCATTCGATCGCGAACGATTATCACTTCTGTCGTTGTCCTCGCTGCTCCCGCATGGATCCTAGCAAAAGCCCCTCACTGTCGGCAGACCGCAGAAGACACAGCACTCCTCAATAGGAACAAAATGGCCCAAGATAAAGTGCAGCATGTAGCCGACCGCGTACCTGCCGTCTGGGGACTTCTAGGTTGCAAAGAGCCTTTACCAAAGGGATTACCTATATTAGTTTGGGGGTTCCTGGCTATACCTATAGTGTAATCTACTTGTATTCATGGTACTAGCCTTCACTATCACTACTCACTGGCAGAACCAGCAATTCTAGCTCAGGATGCTCCGGACCTGCTGTACCAAACCCCGGCAAGAGCATCAGCTGTTCCGGCGCACGGCAGCATGACGACCTTCAGTGTGAGGTACTTCCGCACTTCCCGGAACATGAGGTAGACGCACAGCAAGACCTGGAGGACAGGGAGACTTGCCGAAAACCCAACATCATCATCATCCTCATCCTCAACCTCATCCTCATCACCATCAACATCATCATCGTACCCACTTTAGAAGGCCGCATGTCCGTAATCAACATCATCAGCATACTCATCAATGGGTTGCCCTTCTTCTGCGCCAGCATCACCATCCATCAGCCTCAGGAGTATATACGATCACCCCACGCAGGGACACGCACCTTGTAGCCGCACTCAGTAGTGATCATCAGAGCATACCTGGAGAAGACAGCAGCTTGGGACGTCCGTCGCTTGGCAGCGCAGCACTTCCTCACGACACCTCACTTGGCGATGCTTCCTAGTCTAGATTGAGGCGCGTTTGCAAGGATCGCTGTATGTAGTAGTGAGCTGGCTATTTTTTTAAAAAAAGTCCCTTCAAGAAACACCCCGACACTTTTGAGGCAGTCTTTTTCCGCGCGTGCGGCCCAGGATGCAAGTCCTTGGCCTTGAGACCTAAGGCTACACTCCACCTCAAAACCGTAAACGACGCACTCAAAGCTCCAGAGCCTGAAGCCTAAACTTAAAACACCCTAAACCTGAAACCCTAAACCCTGAACTTAAAAATCCGAAACCCTGAACCCAAAACCCTGAACCCTAAACCTTCACCCTTAAACCGAACTCCTAGGATCCAGAGGTGCTTCTGACATATGTACAAAAACTTGGCGGAGCTTTCCTCCGAAAAGGCCGGCCCACTCATAAGCATGGATAAGATTTGTCGGCTTTCAGGTTCAGGGATCTGCTTTCCCACTTTCAGTTCTTGTGCTGAGGGTTACATGTCGCCATCGGATCGCTTCATGACATTAACCTGTGGGCCCGGCTTCACATTAACGATGCGCGCCGCAAGCAAGGATATCCTCAAAACCGCGTCAGGCATCTTCTGCTACCTGACATGACCCAAGACTTCAACGTGGAGGATTACGATCTCATGTTGGCATCGGTAGGTCAGGTAGTTGCAATCAGAACGTCTTGAAAACCACCACAGTGTGGAGGCATGTGCAAGCAATGTCGAGTTCCACAGGTACCAAGATTCGCACTTCGCTGAAGCTGACAACAAAAAAAAGGTTTCTGGTGCGTGAGCGCAGGGTTTGGTTACGACTTCTCCACCTCAGGAAACAGCCCATTGGTTGAGAAGTTAGATTGTCGGCATGTTTGATAACACGCTCCTATAACTTCACTGTCCAGATGAGATGGCATTTCTTCACAGCTGCTGCAAAACACCAGATGAGACTGTGCTCCTCCTACTCCGTGCTACCCTTGCACGATGCCTGGACTACCAGGAACGTTCAACAGGTGCAGTTGCCGCACTGTGTTTAACTATGAGGGCTTAGGCTTAGGGTACAAAACATCAGCCATGCACTCTCGACGTACTCCTACAAGGAACCTCGATGCCAACCCTCAAGGGCTGGAGAATGCAATGTGGAAGCGGTGCGGCATGAACTTTTTAGTCAAGTCGCAATTTCGCTGAGCTGGTGAGCAGCTCTGCAATATTCAAAAGGCCTCTCAGTTTGTTGCAGGGAGCAAAAGGTGCTGACAGCTTCATGGCTTCAGCTTCACACTGAGTTCTTCCAGCAGCTTCTGTGCAATGTCTCCCTCCATGCCTAGCGGATGTCCAAGTGGCGAACCTCGTCGTGGTTCTGGAACTGCCGGAACCGGGACTGAAGAGACGCCTCAGGCTGGCACTCTTTGGATTGCTCTGCACCGGTGCTTGGGCACAGCCTTCCTCGCACCACAATGCTGGTGATGGCGATGACATTGATGGTGATGAAGAAGGCGAAGCGAGATCTGACGATGACGATTAGCATGATGAAAACGATGAAACTGGAGCTAATCAGGACGATGACCATGATCATGATCATGATGACGATGGCAAAGATCACGATGAGCATGATGACAACGATGACGACGACGACGACGAGGATGATGATGATGATGATGGTGATGATGATGATGATGATGCTGGTGGTGATGCTGATGATGCTGATGATGCTGGTAATGATGATTACGGTAAGGTAGCGCAGATGTGGTGGATCACGATGATCGTGATGATGGTGATGATGGTGATGAAGATGATGACGAGTTGTTCTTCCCAATCTACTAGTGTCATGGCGGGCGTCACTGGAGTCCTCGAAGTCTCTGTCTCCATTGAAGCCTCACGGCTCGTGGAAGCTGCAACAGAAGCTCTCACTTACAGCACCCGTAACAGCAGAAAGCTATATAGAATCCCTGCCATGGCGGTGCCCAGTCGGCCCCTGTTTATCTCGAAGTGCATAGCCTTGATCCTAAAGCGCCACTGTGTCGGAAACTTGTTCTCCGTACAGTGCCCCATCTCAGACACGGCAAAGGTCCAATGGATAGCTAGTGAGGGGCACGCTGCTTAGACTGCTGACGGAGCTCGACAGTGCGGGGTATGCAAAATTAATCCTGGCCGGCTCAGACGTGCCTGCGTTCTTCCCCTTGATGTCGACCTCCTGCCGTGTCATGTCGACACCTGAGAAAAGCGCCCATGGTTGGCTATTGCGGGTGAGGCTAAGAATAGGGATGAGGGAAAAGACGAGAATGCTGACTGCATGCCCTCTGCAATCACTACTCTCACCTCCTGCAGTTATTGCCGTTGTTGAGCTGCAGGAGTAGCAGCAGCAGCAGCAGCAGCCGTAGCAGCAGCAGCAGTAGCAGTAGCAGTAGCAGGAGCAGGAGCAGGAGGAGGAGCAGGAGCAGGAGCAGTAGCAGTAGTAGCAGTAGCAGTAGTAGCAGTAGTAGCAGTAGTAGTAGTAGCAGCAGCAGCAGCAGCACTAGCAGAAACTGCTGGTGTTGGCGCGTCCGGTTCAGAGGGCGCCGGGATCCGCGCCACAGCTCCGCTCGAAAGAGCTGACCATGCGCTTGCCACCCTTTTTGAAGCGGTGACCGACCTTAGGTCTCGAAATCCACTTCTAGACGTGTTTAGATGTCTCTTGATACTGTAGGGGCCTTCATAATTAGAATAGGGTCTTGGGGTATATTATACTATAATTATAATAAGGAACCCCCAGAATAATATTGGTAATTGTTTAGGCCTCTACATTATGTGCATCATTCGGAATGTGTGTGGGCGTAGAGGACTCATCCAAAAAGACTCGTCTTCCCCAGAGCTTGGCAAAAGACCCTGGCTGGCACTGTGTCTGCAAGGAATGGTTTTTCCATTCGTCAGAAGCCTGTACTGAGTCGTCTGCCATGCGGCCAATGTCCCACGGGCTCGCCTCCTAGGCGAAGTATATGAAGATCTAGGGATCAGGATCCAAGGATTCACGCATGTGGGTGTTTGTACTAAGGGAGTACGGTCATCGGGATTACAGATTGGGATTAGAATTATTCAAGGGATCAGGCCTCCGAGCACGGGGTTCAGTGAGTCTTCTGCGAAGTGGAAGTTCAAATCGTTTGAGGTTTAGGGTTTAGGAATCATCTTTCCGCGACAAGACCTTCAAAAAGAAAACTAACAGCATGAATAATGCAGCTAGCACAAGTTTCTGCCTGTATTTCGCTCACACTTATCATAACAACACGACTAGCAATTGCCAAGAATCGTATCCAAAGCAACCTGAATGACCTCACACCCATACCGACCTTACAACCCTATCGCCTCAAACCCTACTAAACCCCTACAGCGATAAATCTGCTCGCGTCCGAGGCGCCTTGGGGCGAACCGTCGTCCAAAAAGCTGGCGTGGGCACAGGCATTTCCATGATCTCCTCTAGGCTTAGGGTTTAGGGTTTAGGGTCTAGGGGTTAGGGCTTAGGGTTTAAGGGTTTCAATCATAACGTTTCTTGTAGGGTTTGGTGCTTGAAATGTTGAGTTTGGCGCTGCAGGGCCTTCGGATAATCCTTCTACCTCGCGACGATATTCTGAAGGTGACGACCATGATTATTCCCGTTGCTGCTATGAACCCTCAGTGTATCGTTAATGATTCGTAAGATATTAGTAATAACGATAATGACGACGATGAATGGACCTCCCAATATTTCTTATAATGCTATTATGTATGCTGATGGCGCTGATGATTGCACTGCATTGTGCTACTTGCACCGGTTGTTGGCTGATATAGCACTTTCTGAAACTGTCTTCATGATTTCTTACTGCTGCTATCCAGCAAGTTTCATGACTCTAACCCCGTCTCTGTGCAGTACCGTGGCTATTGCTGCCATTGCGTATATTCTTACTCTTTTTGAAAGGGTTCGCTCCGGGACCTACTTGTTTGCCATGTTCGACCGCTGCAAAGGAATGCTCGCCTTTGGGCCGTTGCCTCTGACCGCTGCTTGGGAAGGCGTCTTCTTTCGGCGCGCATCATGGTTGCCAGAACTTCGGAAGGTGGTGTTTGGCGTTCGTCAAGGGAGCCCCGCACCCAGCACCCGGAAAAAGGTGTTCAAGCAGAGTTGGCTGGGTACGGAGCAGCTGGAATCACCAGTACGACGTGAAACCGGAAAATCGACAAAAACAGCCGCGTCAACCCTCTAAGGAATACCACGTGTTTCACTTCACTGCCTTATACAAGACATGGCTGATCCTCGGTGTTCGTGGATGGCTTTCTCATGAATACTTCCCAAAGCTAAAACCACTTGGGTCTTTTTGCTCTGCTGCTTCCTGAAACCCAGGCCTTAATTCCACAAAGAAAGATCTTGATCAAAACAAAACTGAACCAAGCAAAAAAACACAAGAACGGTACATGTATGAATCTAAAGAGTACGCTGCTGCTAGAATGAATTATGAAGGAGCCTGAAAGCACCCTTTCGTAGAGAGCCCTCATATGCTGATATAGTGGACTCAGGTCCTCGTCCATCGGTGTCAGCTTGTTCTCCCAGGGGTCCAGCAAGGCATCTGCCCGGACCTGTCCCCCAGTTTAGGACTTTCCGTCCGATACCGATAGTAAGGTTCCGCACTCTGAAGGTCGAGACGTTACTATAAGGGTT